GCTACGATGATGACGTTTAAAAAATCAGGAGCTTATTGGCATACTTGACAATGCGCCGGAAGGTGGCCAACTGATGTTAGTGCGCCCGCGGAAGCTGCATGCTGCCTGGTGTGGTCATCAATACAACGCCCAGTTTGCCCTATAGCTAGCATTTGCCACATGACAATGGAATATTGTAAACAACTCCTTTCTCGCATGGGGCGTAAGGTGTTCTGTGCGCGGTGCCGCAGGTGGTCTTCTGTTTTTTGTCAGTCCTGCAATTCACCCCACGGCACATGGCAAATGCCTTGTTGGGGGCTGAGCAGACGGCATATATGCCTAGTCGGGCGACGATTGATTTTAGGCGGTGTGTTAGCCCGTGGACGTATGGCAACACCACGAAAGGTTAGGGAGGTTTCTTTTTCGTTGATTGTGCATTTTCCTTAAGTTTTTGTCGCACTTGCTTCCAGAGTTGTCTGCATAGCAGTATAAGGAGAGTGGTCTACCCAAAGTCCTAAAGTCTACACACCTGTTTTTGAATGCTGCGACCGACCTTATGAGGGCAAGATTCTCGTAAGGCCGCGACGAGAGCTTTGGTGGCCAACCCTCGTTTTACAGTTTTTGAGTGTTCTGAGTTACTCGGAAGGAATCCTTTGGAGGAACAGGCTTTATACGTCCAGCACACGTGGGTTTAGTTTTGAACTCTGAGGAGAGATTAAGAAACCGTGCGGTTCGGTTTACTGGAAGTTCATGGGTGAAAGATAGTCCTGGGCAGCTGCGTTTAGAAGTGCGCGGGACAGCGTTTAAACATCTGTTAATCGGCTCGTCTGCATCGCTATTACACAGTATAAGAAAGTCATCTACATACGAAAAGATATAGCCTCGATGCGTTGACCTTTTAGGCTTTCTTGGATATTCTTCCCGCATGCTGCAAGGTACAAATCGCCTAAGTATGGGGCTACTCGAGATATTATATAGACACCACGTTTTTGAACATAGTGTTACTTCTGCCGTGATACCACAGTAGCAGTTAGGTAGACACCTAGAAGCTCCAAGAAGCTACCGAGGCTCCTACCAGCAGCATTTTACAAGCGTTGAAGGCCCTGCTCCTCGATGGTTTTTCCGAGGATGAGCAGGAAGGCGACATGGGGAATCAAATAGCAGATGTCCTGGATATCTAAGAAAGAACGCGGAACAATGACACAATCTTTTTTGTTTTTGCATTTTTTAAGGAAGCAAATCACTCTTTCTGAGTTTGGTGTTCTTAAATATTCGGTTACTTTAACTTGTGATAGAAATTTCGCCAAAACGTGTGACACATGGCCTTGCCAAGTGTGTCTCTTTAATACGAAGGCGCTCAAAGATACCCCACTTTTTTTGTGTTTTTTCGCCGAGAAAACGACACACAACTCAGCTTGTTACGATCCTCTGATCTTGCTGATGAGGCTTCTGCGTTGTTCCTTTTCGATTAATGTTAAGATGTTTTTATTTTTTTTATGATTAAGTTAATTTTTTATCTACCGGTCTGAAATTCTTTGATATGGCATGTTTGGCTATTCTCCGAGAAATCAGAACTACAAACTCTCCCTTTTTGTCTGAGAGGCATAGCCTTAGGTGGTGTAGGTTATGCGCCATTGAGGCAAACGTCATCTTTGGATTGGAGTGTCCGGGCTTCGTAGGCCGGCTAGGCATTCGAGTTCGTCATTGATGATCTGTGAGCATGTTTCCTAAGGCAATTTAGATGCGATTTCCAGAAAAATAGGACTTTATCAATGGCGTCTTTTCTTGGTGGGAGAGTCAACTTAAATCCTTGTACAAGCACGCGTTGGGCTGGTGCCGAAAGAAGAACGTCCCCGATGAACTGGAGTGGCGAGCTTTTGGGTCCCGTCTTGACTCTTCGTTCTAGATGTTGCTTTTATGTTGGGGGAAAGCACATATTCCAAAGGTACTCCGTGGTATATCTTGTCACGGTCATTTGGTTTGAAACAGCGTTGTTACTGAGACATTTCACCCTCAGAAAACTAGTGAAAATGCAAACTTGGCGCCATGCCTCGTACTTCAGAATTTTTGGAACTCGTTGTGATTATTTGAGGCGCGCGTTGAGCCAGATTCTGGCTGTTTGCAAAATGTCAATCATAAAGTTAAAGCTTTTTTTTAAAAAATAGTTCGGTGAATGCAGGAGCTGGCGGAACTGCATTTTGGCAATACCAGTGCCACACACAAGACACAAGAACTAGAAGCGACACAAGGCAAGCGTTGGGAGCTCATATATAAAAGTTTGACAAGTAATTGACTTTACTTAGGTGTCAACAGCCGTCCTGGGTCCCCTCTTGTTATTCTTTCTCAAATTTCGCAAAGTTTCGGCTATACTGTTAACCTAGAAAATGACAAAACATATTGAAAAAAGAAAAAAGCTACGCAAGTTAGAATGACGCTGCGGTGATGCTCCCACGGACGCGCGCGCAAGCAGCCTGATCCTGCTGTGAACTGCGAGCTTCTCGCATGGCTGATGCCGAGCCAACGAAAGTGGCTGTGACGAAACTTCCATCGCACCACCGGCGCAGCGTCGAAGCTTGGGTTGCACTGGGAGAGGGCCAAACACATCAGAGTAGGACCCACACCCTCGCAGCGCCCTACTCTACAACGCGCATTTTCGTCAGTTTCAAGACGCCTCCAGAAAACGAGGCATGTACCGCCGGCCACACGCTCTGCTGTTCGCATTCCATTTGAACCCGATAGTACATTTGACCTCGCAAATACTGCAAACCTTCGCTCTAGTAAAATGCCGTTCCAGGGTGCCGTATAGGTTGCGCCAGAGTGCCGTTGTGTTCTTTCGTTGTCAGAGATTTGAAGAGGTCTTAGGGCCCTCGTTCCTAAGGAGTGGCCAGTGTGTGAACGGGCCTTTATGCAGCCTTGTGCCCCATTGCGACGAGAGAACAAGGGTCTTTAAACCCACTGGCTCCCGGCGTCATCCATGATGTAGCTTTCTAACTGCGCATGACTGTACATCGTTTCACTTTAAAGGCCTGTTCACACACTTGTGACTCCTTAGATTCGAGTGCCTTAAAACTCCTTGAGATCTCTTACGAGGAGAGGCTGGCACAATGGCGCCATCTATGCGGTGACTCCGGAACTGCATTTCACTAAAGCGAATGGTTTGCGGTAGTGGAGAGGTCACCGGTACGTATTATTTCTAAGAAAAGGCCGCGTATAACATTGATAAAAGCTTTTCAGGCAAAGAAAGAAAGAATAATAAGCAAAAAAGTAGGAAAGGTACGGGACCGCCAAGTGTTCCATTGCTAGCAAATAGGTGGCGCCCAGTTTGTTCTCCCGTCTACAGTTTCTGTATAGGCTCACTACGGGAGCCAAGAGTTGTGTGTCTGTTTTCCACGTGCCGCCGCTCCGCTATTCGCCGAGATCCGATCACGTGAGGAGCAGGATCAACATACTGTGCAGGAAAGACGGCGCTACGGGGATGGACACGCAACTCTGGCTCCCGTAGGGACCCTATACAGGCACTCTACTCCCGTCGTAAGACATTGTAGGAAGTTTCAAGGCACTCGCTCCCAAGAAGTGGCAAGTGTGTAAACAGGCCATACTCAGCCGACGCTACGAGATCATGAGACCAATAAAGCAGCTTCAGCAGCGCATGTAACTGGGACTTTCCTGTTTATGATTTGTTCAGTGATGATGGGACACGTACACAAACATTACGAACACAATAATGGTGCGATTTTATGCTGTTCGTTATGTCCCATCAGCTTTTTGCGTCGGCTGCGTCTTTCCTTAAGGTAAAACAAAGTACAGAGCAATGGCCCTGCAATCTTTTTCCGACCAATTGCGTACACAGTGCTCCTCAAACTTATCCGGAACACGCGAACGGTGTCTTATCTCATTGGAGTACTATCCAGGCGGCAGCTGAAGGACTGCTTCATGGCAGGTAGCGCTCAATGGAGCAGTCCGAGCAGGGCAGGCCGCTCGCTGAAGGCCGAAATCGCTGCTGAACCGAGAACAACACAGCAACCTTTCCTTCGAGGAGATTTACATTTTTTCGCCCCATTCGATAGTAATATCAAATGCTTCAGATTGAATTATCCGATCACCGACTGTTTCGACAGTTACGTATTCATCTTGATTCGATAAGATGGCGATAAATATATATTGAACGGTCGTCAAAAATGGCTGCGGTGCCCACGATCTAGCGAGCAGCCTCGCCTGCTTGGGCTGTTCCATAAAGCGTTACGTCATGCAGAGGCTCTTCGGCTGCCACCAGGATTGCGCTGCCATCAGATAGGACACCGTTGGCGTGTTCAGAATGATTTTGGAAAGGACTGTGTGATCTATGAGAAGTTTTTGTTCACAACATTGTCATAGCCTTTCAAGCTCATCCGTAAGGAATGATGCACGCGAAGAAAGAAAGAAAAAAAAGAAGAAAAAAGTAAATACACATGGACACTATAATTTTTATTCTAACAGGATTCAGCAAAGTCTATCTTCTGCAAACCAGAGACTATCTGACAACAATGTTTTCAATTCGCCTTCCAACCGGATCTAGCAAAGTCTGATTACTGTAAGCCAGATTTTGTCTATTCATTGTGTTTCAGAATTGCCTCCTAACCGGATCTGGCAAAGTCCGCTTGCTCTAAACAGGAGACTGTCTGACCGGACTTTTACCGTTTTGCCTTCTAACCGGATGGGGCAACGTCTGGTCTGTGCGAACCGGACTTTCTCCTTCGGATTGTGTGCGAACTGATTTTAAACTAGATTTCAGATTCCGGTTCGATTTTTAATCGCCTTTTTCTCTAGGGACGTCAGTCGCAAGTTTCCAGGGCTACCCGAGAGATGACCCCAGTGTGGTTTCTCGCTACAAGGAAGCACAGCGCTGCACAGCCTACTCGGTTTCATGGAAACGCAAATGTGTAAATCAGCGTTTAGAATGTTCTCGGCTTCTAAAATCCTAGGGTTAGACATTGAAAAGTGCTCCAAGAAGCCAGCAATGAAGGAGAGCAAACGCTTCTTACATGACCAGAAAGACAGGGCCACCACGACTGCTGTGGGACCGACGATGATGAGAAAGAGGATTACGGAGATGTTGCCGACAAATCTTTTGTTGCTGGAAAGGAGAAAGCAAAAACATAACAGGTTTTGTTAGCATGAGGTTGCCTCTCTTTCGATTTACTCATTGACTGTACTCAAGCGCCATTATGTTTTCTTTATCTATCGTAACTACAGTAATCTTGGGCAGAGCCTGAGACTAAGAAGTCAGATCCAACATTTGTTTCTATAATATTTAAGTAGGTATATGTAACTTCGGGGGATCATTTTTTTAAATTAGGCGGTGTTTTACATGGATTAATTTTTTCCACAGATTAGGTGTTTCTTTGGTGTCTACTTAAGGTAGGAGTCTCAAACTCTATATATTTATCATTGACTTGTGTTAGCCGCGCATGCTAAAAGCGCGGGCTATTCGCTTTCGATGAAGCCTCGGCGGCTGCACGAGCGCTCGTGCAGCGAGTGCTCCAGTCAAGGCAGCCAAGGCTACGCGCTCGCGGTTGCACAGCCTTTCCAGTCCATCCATGCTAAGCCTAGACGAAATACAGTAGTGGTATAGCCATTTCGGCTCACGTAGAACGGAAGGGTCAAGGAGAAATTGCTTATTTCACGGACCAAGATGGCGACCATACGGGGAGCTTAGCGCGACTTTCCCAGGATCCAGTGACTGTAGGGTTGCCGAGCGCGCGCCACCCTCTGTTTAGTTGCCCGCTCTCGTCGGTCACAAACAACGCCGGCGGCGCTCCAGGGGACAGTTAATGCTCTCGCATTAATAGCTTCCCACCGCAGTCAATGTGCGTTCAACGTTTCCGCGGCTTGGTCGACCCTATCCATAGGCTGATGTCGTCGCCAGCGGCACCGAGCGAACGAGCCACGAAACGACACCAGACCTTCAAGGAAGCTTCTCATCTGATTTTCATCTAGGAACGTTGGGACAGAGGACGCCGCGACGCTTCGAAATAACTTCGCCAGCTGCCAGAAGCGTTCCAGAAAAAAAATAATATGTTCAAAACGAGGACGACGCAATCCGCGACGATCTAAAAAGAAACGATGGCGCGTGCCCCAAAGGCCATCTCTGGATGTCAGCGACCACTAAGTTCATCAAGAAACGCAATAAACTGATTTCACTAAGCCTTCTACTTATGTGTGACGCCGCCATAACTGTAGTTCATAGGAAGCAGACGCCAGTTTACGAGAGAGCTCGTGTTCCGCTCACACAGCGCTCCAACTGTGATGTGATGCATAGCGACAGCGGTGGCGTATCAAACTACCTGCTGAGATCGGTCCATTCTGCCTGTAACGGCTGGGTCGATACATCGAAATACGGCTGCATTGTGTTTTTACTTTGTGTCGGGTTGCACGCAGCGCATTTAATGTTTTCACCCTGCTGTCGGCCCATGGGCTGTTCCGAATCGCGACCAATGCGAAACAAATACAAGCCGTTAGCTACATGCCGAACGTTTCAATTCAGAAGGAAATATTCATCTGTATGGGCGTAAATACGCATGACCTTTTGGCTAAAAACATTTACAAAACAAACTTTGACATAGGCTTTGCACGAAGTATGAAGAATGCATCTGAATGCTTACCTGGTAGCTGGAAAAGTTAAGAAACCATTTGTTGCCATCAACGTAAGCTTTTGAGCACCTCATAATAACATGTTTCCCGTCACCACACGCATCTAATTTTTATGGCCACATAAAATTGCGCGTGTGCAGAGAAAGGGAGTAAAATAAATCGTCCCTGATTTATTTTGAAGTCCGTAGGAGAAGCAGTTTAGGGGAACTAACATAGCACAGCGAATTTCTCGTGAATCGATCCGTGAGTTTCAGCTCTATATTGGCATTTTGTTTCAGTCTCTACTCCTGCTGTGTTCAACGCTCACCGAGTGAATTTGCCATTACCGGATTGCGGTTCCTAGGATTTCTAATGAAATAATCGCCGGTTGACTCTGTATATCGATCGAGGTTTGATTGAACGGTTGATAACACGAGGGACGCTTCAATTTGGAAGTTCTCGAACTTACAAGTGGGTAACTTTTCGGTGGAGTTCAATGTCAACCCTATAAAAAAAAATAATAAAAAAATAACACACTCAAGCCTGACTTTGAGGACAAAGTCTGGGGAGCACGGAATAATTGAGCACACAACGCCTCCCCGGAATCGCCGTGACGCCTTACGTCACCTCAATCTTGTTTTGCAAAATTTCGTTGGGAAATAGACATCACGTGACTTGTGGTCGCATGGCGTGGTCACGTGATTTCAGTGTCCCCGGTAAATTGAGGAGAATTAACGTCACGCGACATCACTTTTCCCGCTAAATTTAGCGGAAAAATTGACTTCCCGTGACCTGAGCTCACATGACGTCAAGTGACGTGAATTTCTCTGCTAAACTTGGAAAGAAAATCGACGTCAGGCGCCAATAATTCCCTCGCTAAATTGAGCGGGAAGTATGACGCGATGGTTCTTCGTAACGGATATTCATGACAGTCTTCTCATTAATTGCAGCTGATACAACAAATTCTTTGGTAGAAGTGAAGGAAAAAAGTGTCAATAATGGGTATGGCTTTCTTCGCTTCCGCACTGTGCTTTTCTTCTAATTAGGCCCGTAGCCAGGGAAGGGGACTAAGGGCCTCCTGCCCTACCCCCCCTCCCCCCCCCAAAAAAAAATAATAATAAAATAAAATTAAGATGGAAAGGGGGAGGCGCTCTAGCGCTGTTTTCCGCATGCGTTTTTGGTCTTCCTTTCCTTCTTCGTTGTCGCTCTTCCTGATCTCAGGGTTTTCCTTCATCCTGATCAATCCCCACCAGCTCGGTTATCCCCTAACATTCTGCGAAACACTCATTTTTCTTCCTTGATTTTACACCCCGCGGCGCAATTTTAGGATTTGTTTTTGCCGAGGGGAGGGGACTGGGGGATAGGGGCGAGAGGGGGGGGGGGGAGGAGAGGCTTTTAACTAGTCCCCCCCCCCCCCCCCCAAACCGAGAAAAAAAGAATATAAGAAAACTCTGCGACGATTCCACGCGCGTTTAAACAGCGGAAGCGAGGGCGTGATGCGTTCTCCCGCAAAATTTAGCGGGGAACTGCATTTGTCCCTAGGTCACGTAAAGTGAGTTTTTTTTTGCTAAATTTAGCGGGAAAGGGTTTCGTTTACGCTCACGCTGTCGCAAAAGTGGGGGGCGCAGACCATTAACAACTGCCGATAAAAAAAAAATATTAGGTACAGGCTTGCTTCAATTTGTGTTCACGGTTGAGAGCGTGTTGCCTGGCGCGATTCTGGCGGTGTCACCTCGGCTGATGTGAACGTCGCAATCTGAATAGAGTATTATTTTCTTTTATTAAATAAAGCACTAATCTTCGCTTCTTTTATGGTCCTTAAGTCTCTAATTGAACACAACTGACGGCCAAGCTCTTTGAGCCGATCCGATAAGAGTCAAGCACCAAAGCCACCAAAGGGAAGCTTTAGGAATGACAACGACCTTAGCGCTTCTGTTCCGTCCTTGCAATCGGGTCTTTTACTTTTCTCAGATTGCACCGAAATTCAAACGGCACGGAAAATTCTCGCCTGCTCGCACACTCCCTCGGCTGGTTCTGTACTCAGGTCCAAAGCAGCTGAGCAGAAGGACCGCACCCTTCACTCGCACCTCGAATCGCAAAGCTTTTTTTTTTTCCCTTCCTGCAGCCGTATTTAGCGTGTCTGCATAAATCGCTACCTGTTCCAGTCCTGGAGCGGATTGGTTACGACAAATTCTCGCAGCAGCGAGATATAATCCTTCCCTCAGAAACCGCCATCGCTTGCCGTAATCTCGCCAAAACCAGTTCTCGTGAGACCCACGCAAATTGGCAGCGGGATACGCTTCCCGTAATATTCGTAAAATAGCGCGCCTTCTCTAGCTTCGGCAGCTCCGCTAATTTTCCGCTAGCAGTGCACATGTGCAGTAGTGTCATCAAGGACCAAAAAAAAAAAAAAAAAAAGTCAAGACTCTGGTACGCCAACGCATCGCCGCAAGTTTGAATCGTAATGAAAAAAAAATAGCGGGGAAAACCATTTGGAGTTCAATGCTTGCCTAGTAAAATCCGAGAGGTGCGCGTTGAGCTGGCATATTGCACTCTATACGGCATGTTTAGACCACCATATTTTCCCTATAGTGTGACCCTTACAGGTCGCTGGAGTCGCGACGAGAGAAGGAACCTTGAGGTTCAAGGCTGCATGCGCGTGTTCACTGCTCTTTGTCGTCATGTTGATGCAAGGTGAATCAAGACGGGAGCAGAACGGGGCGCCAATTGTAGGCGCTCACTTTGGTGGCCGCGAGAGAAAGAACGAAAAAGAGAGCGACAGAAAAGCGGGCAAAGAGGGCAGACGATGGATTAGGCGTGATCGTTTATGCCACTACGACTTGAAATTGTTCGAGTCCTCGTGAACATTTTTTTAATGTTCATACAATGAGCAACGTCGATGTTTTCGCGCTAAATAAAACACTGCCTTTTTAAATCAAACCTGCAACCCAGAAGAGAAAGGAAAAAAGACCCAGTAGGCAAAGTATATTACCCTGTTGCACCTCACCCTGCGAAATATTCTCTGAAAAAAAGAAAAGTTACTGTTAGCCATATCTCATATGTATTTGATACTTCTCTTAGGTTAAACCGTAGCCTCCTTTATCCTTGAAAACCTGTCAAATCGCGAAACAACGTGGCCACTTTAAAGAGGAAACAAGATCAGAGAAGGGAGCGCGTGCAGTGGGTCTCTCAGGTGACGTCAAACAATGCCTAGCGTTAAAATGCGGAAACACAAACGGTGCTCCTTTTACAGCTAAGCTGTTTATGACTAGGGCTCCGTGTATTTTTCGTGTACGTCAATGCAGAAACAGCTCGCTGGCCGCCGACATTTTGCGACTCGAGCGACCCCTATCAGCCAAAACATTTCTGCCACCCGCCTGAGCTGTGGAAACCCGGCCAGCGCGACTCCCCACCAGCATTGCGTGTTCAAAGTTCGCCGGCTTTCCTTGAAAGCGTTTACTCTATTTCCCTGTTCAGGATTACTTGCGTGTTTTTTGTAATCT